ACCTAAAACCCTGAACCCTAAACCCGGAACCCTAAAACGTGTATCCTACGGCCTGAACCGTAGGGCATTAGCTTTGAGGGCTCGCGAGCTTGGTGGAATATTTTGCTTGAGCCAAGCCTCGGACCTGGAAAAATTCTCGCAACTTCATACGAATAATAGAAATACTAGTAATGGTAAAAGTACAAACAGTGGTAACATCATTAATATTAGTAATCACAGTAACTAGAAATTTAGCATCATAACAATAGTAATCATCAGCATAAACCCTAAACCCCAAAAATGTAAACCCTAAACCTTAAACCTTAAACCCTAAACCCTAAACCTTAAACCCTAAACCCTAAACCTTAAACCCTAAACCCTAAACATAATAATACTAGTAGTACTACTTGGAATCATGTCACTACCAATTGCCGGCTTGAGTCCTTTCAGTACCCCCACTGGAGTACATGGGGGTGTAAGGTTGAAGGTTTAGGGTTTAAGGGTCAGGGTTTAGGGTGTAAGGTTTAAGGTTTAGGGTGTAAGGGTGTAAGGTTCAAGGTGTAGGGTTTAGGGTGTAAGGGTTAAGGTTTAGGGTTGAGGGCTTATGGCTAGTTGTGGCTACAGATAAGTTGAAATCAAGCGAGCCTCCAAGCAGAAAGTGTAAACCCTGCATAAAGCTAGTAGAATCCTCCGTGGCTTACGGCTTTGGGATTGTAAGTTAGGGGTACCTCTAAGGGGGGTGATAGGGTCTATATCGGGTCTATATCGGGGCTATATAGGGGTTATATAGGGGTTATATAGGGTTTAGGGGTTGCGGCTTATAGCCAAAGGCTCTGGAAGGCACACTTAAAAGAGACAAATCAGCTACGGTTTGGACATGTCAAGAAAGCTCAGCCCAAAAAGTCAGCCTCCAGTTTAGGGTCTTCTTCATGTAGACCCATGATGAATAAACCCCCTTCGTTTTCAGGGACTAGATATTAGAATCCCTCCTGTCATCCCTACTAAGGGGAGGGTTAATCAGGGGTCTGGGTTGCTCCATTCATCTACCATTAGTAATGATTTTACACCAATGAGGAGGTATAATCCAGAAAACTATAGGCAGTTGGGCTTGCAGATTGGGCCTGGTGCAGATTTTTGGGGTACCATTCTTCAAAACCTTTAAACCCTAAACCCCAAACCCCAAACCCTAAACCCTCAACCCTAAACGCCCCAAGCGCGCTGAATCCCAGAGCTTCGGCGCTGGAATGGCTCCTCAAACCTCTGCCTCCAAACGCCAAGGCCCTAATCGTAAAAACACGCCCCGTAACAGGGTTTAGGGTTTAGGGTTTAGTAACAGCCCCAATCATCCATGACCCCTAAACCCTGTATAGTAGTTTCCATTTTCTTGCCCATTATCCATAGATACCCCCAAAATACTATATAGTAGTTTCCATTTTCTTGTCCAGTATCCTTATCTAAGACCTGAGCTGCACTATTCATTTGCCCAAGCATGTGTCCAGGATCTTCTTGATGTCGTCAGCTGTTGGGCTCTCGTTGCCTGCAAGGGCCTCGGGATCAATGGCAAGGCTTACCAACAGATTTCCGACCTCTGCAGTTAAAAAGGGTTTATACCCTAAACCCTAAACCCATTTATCTCAATCCGTGAAGCCCGAAGCTCTCACGCCTGCGGCCTAAGGAACACCTGAGTAGTGTTTTGTTTGGTGGTTGAACCTAGTAAGATTATATTCCGTATATAAAATACTATACCCCAAACGGAGGATATAATCTTACTCTACATTGGGTACTATAGTATCCCCAAAATAAATACTACTCACCTGAACCATGAAGGCTAGACCTCTCTGTTTGCCTCCGTGTCTCTCTGTCTGTCTTCCTTGAGTCTCCTGACCACTGAGGTGGGGACAGCCATGAGGTAAGCACCAACATACTTCATCCCCATCTTGAAAGATGTGTTGATCCTGCAAGAAGATGGGTCCGCGTGAAGTTGCAGGGTCCCCCTACAGAATCCTTAAGCTTGGAGTACAGGACTATAAGATTTTCTGAGCTAAGCAAGGATGCGCTGTTGGGAGAAATGAGAGTAAACGTGGGGCCATCAGTAGTTACACCGACATGGTCTATTTCACCAAGCTACCCCCTTTTCATAGACTTGAGGCCTCAGAGCAAAATTGAGGTTGCTAATTGCGGCCTTCACTGGACAAACAGAATTAGCAGCAATCCGACTAAGCCCAAATGCTAAATTCCTGCCCACAATGGATTGGAAGGTTAGGCGGTACCTTGGGCAGCCTTGGAAAATTTCAGGGAACCTGAGGGCCTCAGGGTACCCAGGGTCTAGGGCCTAGGGTTTCAGTTTTTCTGGGGTTGATCAGAAGACTGTGGAACCATAACATCAAGTTTAAGCACCCGCTTCGGGGGTAGTTGCCATCAGTAGGCACACGCACAGCATGTGGACAAACAAGCGGCCCCTGCACCAAAGGACTTTTGGAGTTTATAAGCGGCCCTAGATGCCATGTGAAGGGCTGTGCTTTGCGATGCCTTACAGATGGACATCCCCTGAGCACTTTAAGATGGAAACCCATCTCTGGCCTCTGAACCTGTAGGCCTCTGAACCTGTGGTAGTCCTGCAGCCTAAAGCGGTAATCTGACTTGTGCCAGCACCATCATTGATTCCAAAGACCTGCAATCAAAATGCAATGCCCCCCATAATGGCATTGCACTTGCGACTGGTTCCACGGCAATCACCTGTCCTGGCCGCTGCACTGTACCGTGGCGCTGGGAGGGCGCTATACCGCTTCGAGCCGTGGACCGCCACGGGCAGCAATAGTAATAGGAATGCTAACTCAAAGGTAACAGCAACTCTAGTAGAAGTAGCAAAGGTAGTAATTAGGAATGCTAACTCAAAGGTAACCCCTAAGGCTCCAAATAGCCCAATGTAGGTCATATGTATAGACTTTGGGGCCCAATGTAGGTACTATTTATAGACATGGAGCCCTAGGTAACAGCAACTCTAGTAGAAGTAGCAAAGGTAGTAAGAATGTGTTCAGTTTTTCAGCTCCGCCTTTGTGTAAAATGACGACCGGCGGAACACCAAGGCCTTGCCGAATCCTGGCTGGCTGGTCTTCAGTTGGTTGGGCCGCGACACCATGTGTGCCAACAGCTTTTAGGTTTGCCGCTGTTTTGAATTTCGGATTCTTGCTGATGTGACAGGGTTGCCATGATGTTGATAAGGGTTCATGGCGGAGATTCATTTGCTGCACAGCTAGCCACAACTGAAAAAGGTCAACGGCGTCTGGCATAGGTGGACCCCACCCAGAAATAGTGACTCTAAGGCAGAATGGTGATTATATTAGGGTCCACGGGCAGGGTTTCCAGCAGAAGGGTAAGACTGCATTTTGAATGTGCTCCCAGTCGTGCTTGATCCTAAACCCACCCCACCCCAAACCCGAAACCCACTCTCAACCTTAGACCCTAAAAACCCGGATATTCCTACTATACCACGATTACAAGGTGGGGGGTGCGCCTACCTAAACCCTAAACCCTAAACCTAAACCATAAACCCTAATCTCTTGCAAACTTATGCATGTAGCATCCCGGGTAGCATGCCAGGGCTCCCTTCCCACAACCCCCTCTCAATGAGTATGAATAATATGGGCTGAGGGTTTAAGGTTTAGGGTTAACGGTTTAAGGTTTAGGGTTTAAGGTTTATAGGGTTTAAGGTTTAAGGTTCAGGGTTTCTAGGCTTTAGGGACTCCCCACTAGCCTATATGGTAGGCTACTGGACTATGTAACTGTAGGGTATATAGAATCCAGAACCCATTATTGAGGCAACTGGAGCCATGGGGACTGCTAAAGCATGCTGTTGGCACTTGAGACTTAGGACAGAATACAGGCTAGACGTGTCTCAGGAATACATCACATTTTGGGACGGGCTTTTTTGTTGATCGGAAAGCTACCCTAGAAGCGTGGGGTTTGGGATTTGGGGCGCAAGGTGCAAAATTGAGGCTTTGCCATAGAGACGCCGATAATGCGAAACCTGCAACCTGCTCAAGACAGGGGTGGCAGGGGTCTCTTTCCAATTCTTGCGAGTAATTCACAGGGAGCGAAGACACATCAAGAACCTCGGTAAGAAGATTCTTCCCAACCTGTTATGATGCCTCCCCAAACTCATTCTGAGAAAACTGGCTGCTTGGGTTTGGAGTTTGGGGTGTAAAAGTTCCTGGTTCTTGAATTCAGGGGCATAGACCATGTAGGATTTTGGTAGCTAGAGTTTAGCAGTTAAGCTCGAGACGCAACTACCGCGGCCGCCGGGCAACACTTAACCCGGAGCCGTTCCACCGGGCTTCCTTGCGCAAAGTAGTCGGGTCGGTGGCTAATGTCAGGGACAACTGTTTTGGATAAACAAATGCAACCACACTTCACGTACATGCCTATGATCGGGGTGGGTTGGGCAGGTGGTCCACGACAGTTGTTACTGGTGGATGCCTACGTACCTCTGCGAGCCTTTTCTCTCCAACCATTTGGCAGTTTCCGAGAAGGCGGATCCTGAGTGGAACGTCGCTCTTTGAGGAATATCACTTCCTTTAAATGGAGGCTACCATTTGACCCTGAGCAGTCGGTCAGGGATGAGGAGAGCATCGCTGCCTCCTCCGGCAAGGTTTCTCCAAATCACACTTGCGGCTCAAATCTGCGAACATTCCACTCCATTTTTGAGAAACCCCGTGTGAGAAGCAAAGGCTAACAGGACAACGCCTGTAGCACTTCTTCAAAAGCTCAATGTTCTCCTTTGATTCACCCGAATATGAGGAGTTCCTCACGAAATTAGTTCGTAGGTATGAAATCCAAGGTGCGCCTGATGGACATATACGTACCCCTTACAACCAACTAACATCACTACTCACCTCCTGCAGACTTTCCAGCGGAGGCCGCATTTGCAGAACTGGCTTCGCCAGCCCCGTGCACATGCACCGCCGCCACAGCCGCCGTGCTTCACAGCAAAAGGAAGTGAGTGCGCTTTGGCGCTTGCCATCTCATGGATGGAGGGTGCCATTGTTGCTCAGCACATTGATAGGCACAGATAGGTATACCTTCCCATTTGCGTCAGGGTCGGGGAAACGCCCAGCTTGGATGTTGCACTGCACTGATGGCAGGATAAGCTTGGGAACGGCCAACTGTGCATCCCGACTGTCGCGCATGTTCACCTCAGCGCGACTCCACAAGAATGTGCAAAACTTCAACGCTCCGAATGCAGAGAACAAGGCTAAGCACAGGACATGACCGAGCTGAGTGAATCAGATGTTTCGTGCCTTACAACGCCCTCAACGCCTCCCTTCCCGCAATCTGGGAATGTAGCTTTCCCTACTGCGCCTGGAGGTGGAACAGTGCTGCATTGAACATTGAGAATAGCATTGCAGCAGATCTTTGCATAGAGCTTAATATCCGAGCATCTTAGGCAATCAGAATTAAAATAACGACGAGAATTCAGGACATGGGCCACTGATAGCCGTGTGATGGCATTCCCCCCCCCACCCACCAGCCCTCTGCCAATGCTGCGTGAGCCGGTCTTCAACATCTCAGGCTTCTTCCTACGAGTGTCCTCATAGGAGTGCTCTCAGAAAAGATTTTGCAGGCCTTCCTGTTTTTTTTTCGGCCAAAAGGAGATGTAGGCCCATTCTACTTGTTGCAGGAAGGAGCCACACACTAAGAAGGGTGCGCAAGTGGGAAAAGGTTCGCCCCATCCTGCAGCCAAAGCATCAACTAATTATAACCTTTCCTAAAACCATACCAGAGAATCGTT